AGGCCTCTGGTATATGCCGCTTGATCATAAAATCAATATAAAATGGAACCTTGGCTTTTGTACTAGCTTACTGGAAAGTTTTAGCTCTGGAAATCAAATACCATCCTGACACCAAAGCAAGCGGTGAGAGCAATTGAATTGGGAAATTTATGCAAATTAGACGGCTTGCGGACGGTTGTCAAACTAAAAGAAAGGTTTTACATGAAAGGATTACTCACCATTGCTTGTAACACGTTTTTACGGCAAGGAAAGTTATTTCCAACTTCTGTTGCGTCGATTTGAGTCACAAAATCCATAATTTTAAGCCAAAAGGTCCAAAAGACAAACGTACGTTTGCTCAGCGACTGCGCCAGAATCCGGCCGCGAATCGAAATAAAGTCACAACACGTCACTGCGGTCCTTTGGAAGCAAGAGTTGCAAGAGTTTTTACTTCAGTCAGGAGGCCAAAAGATTGAAAATTCATCGCAAACTAATGACTTCGATTTTGAAAACCTTTCATCACTTCAATCGTTCGTCGGCTGATATTAAACATCGCACAAGATCGTATGACCTTTGGCGTGTGACCGGAAATCGGTCACATACTTATGTCACGTTAGCATACTGTCACGAATTTTAATACGATTTTTCACGTTTGCTTTCGACAAAAAATAGACTCATCGAAATAAAATCAGGCCTGCTTTATTTGTTTGTTTCTTTTTTAATTTCTTTTATAGCCTGCAGAACTTGTTCCCCATGCATCGCGCGTGTCTCGCACCCCCAGTCCGCTTCGCAGTGCTAGCATGAAAAGCGCAAAAAACTGAAATTGACTCCTGTTCTGCAGTTGATTTCTTTTATAGACACCTTCTAGGCATTGACAGGCTGTGAAAAAAGTGTATTTTTTTTATTATTATTTTTTGAAGTGCTACATCATTTTCCTATAAATTTCAAACGTGACTGCTAAAAGACTGTTTGGAACCCATGGATGGAGAAAAGCTGTGCCGGAGAGAAGGTCAACCTCCCAGCCGAGCCAACTTTTGCGAGCGTTTGTATGAGGAAAAAACTGACCACTTTGTCCGAGTCAACAGTGCTTGCGCATGCTGTCTTTGTCTAGCCTTGACCGTGTTGTCCCAGCTAGCTGAAGAAATATTAGCCGGGCTAGAAGGGTGAGGCCACCACTACCGGCTCAGTGGAGGGCTGACTTCCGGAAGCCCTCAACCCCGCCCAATACTGGTAGTAAGGCGTCTATCCGAACCAACCTTTTGTTTCTCATGTAAATGGTTTACCAAGTTTTGTAAGGAAATGGATGAAAAGTTGGCTTGCCCAGGGTAGCTTGGCAGGTGAGTAAACACCAGATAACCCCAATAATAAGCACAAACTTTGATTGTCAGTTAGATGTCCACTATTTTAAGTAAGCGACCTCGCATGTGATTGTCGCATCCATGCCCCCTTCCAGATCCCCTTTATTATCGGTAAGCCTCTGATAGGTCAAAGTAATATAGTCGTACCTCCAGTAGGCGACCACCAAAAATGCAAAGACTTAATGGTCTCTAACGGGAGGTGGCCGTTTAGAAGAATCGGACCACATGGGGTCTATTCCGAGAAGAGGTCCGGGCACTTTCTATTAAATGGCGGTGTAACAAATTCCTGGCAAAATATTATCTTTTACCTCTTTTGAAAAATACAGCTTTTAAATCATGCTCAATTTAAAGAGGGATTCAGGTGAGTGAGATATAGAATAGTCTAGAATCACAACAGAATCTTCACTTTGTTGGCTACATCTACTAAGTTAGGATATGTGTAGTTCCACGATGTCACTAAAGGTCTTTATATTTTCCAAGGAACATAGTGCACACAGCAAAAATAGAGATCAGAGAATGCGTCAACTGGTCGCTTATGGAAAACAATTAACCGTGACGCCCAAAAAGTGGTCGCAGTCACTTACAGAAGGTCGTTTACTGGAGGTTCCAAATATAAGGCTTTGAATGGGAAAATTTGGTCTTTTGGATTGGCGGCGCACATGGAGGTTCGACTGTGTTAGGTCTATTAGAGTATGAGCCACCATCACCTCACTGTGAGTGACGAGAGTCAGGAACGTATAGTATACACTCCCTTAGGATGCACAGAATCGTTGTTTTGAGGTCCCGTTTAGCGAAATGGATCATTCAAGGGAGGTGCTGAAGTCCCATAGTGAAATTTATAAGGTTTATGGGTTTTTAGTGCAAGGCGAAACACAATACTTAGGGCCCTGTTGTTCAAACGTTGAACAACAGGAAATCACTATCAAGCGAACAAGAAGAAGCAATTGCGTTACTTATTGGATATAGATTTATCCAGGGGAAAGCGTTAGTCCCGGGGGCGTTAGTCAACTTTTCGAACATACGGCCCCTAAGTCACTCTCCTCCGAAGACTTACCCTGGGCGACCAGGATAGGGGAATATAATACTCGACCTTCCTTGCATCATCGCGAGAGCCTATAGTCTTCACTTTCTTTTGGCTCGTCCTATAATCCTACCCAACGTTCGTGGGACAGGAAAGTCTGCGTGCGAGGCTTGGGAATCTAGGGAGACTATGGTAGCATGGTGCAAATAGCCGGGATGAGCTACTTTGTCCACACGAACCAAGAGGATTGTGTCTGCTAGAAGAAATCAGATGTAGCTATCTGTGATAAGTAATATTCCAACAGTATAGGATCATAGTTTGAAGCCATTTCACAATCACTAGTTTCTGCGCACCTCTACCGGCGAGTTGTGGACAAAAGCAGCTGATAGCTGTATACGAACGTTTTTTCCACAAAATGGTTTCTGGGTTTTCGTATTCGACAGTGTCATGTATTGATTTTTTTAAATCTTAATCGAGGTCTTTTTTATTATGTACTGTCTATCTGACTGACTGTTTCTTTGTGTTTTTTTTTTTTCTGGTAATAACAGGTTTCATAATTTGGTCGCGGTTGGGGTTATAGGCTCCTGATCGTGAGCAAATAGCGAAAACCAAAGTAAACTATAGCGTTGAATCCGTTGGTCACGGAGAATTGGTATTATTCTGCAAGTTCTTTACTACAGCAAGAGAGTATACTCCCTTGACTATGGGACATTTGGCCGGGGAACTTAGTATTTTGACCCGGCATAGGGGGGAGGAGGGGAGGGGGGGGGTACCCTGGCCAGATTCAAGTCACGGGGATGATCGAAGTATGTTTTTTTCTTGGTTTGAAAATATTTTGAACAAAAAAATTTTTTTTTTTAGCTGTGGCTTTACTTAAGTATTCAAAATATTCGTTCTTTTTTGGTTTTGATTTTCGCTTCCACGGGTCACTCACGACACTTGGAATCCGAGGTACCCCTCCTGTTTAGTACTTCGAAGGCAAAAAAGCTGTTTCCAAGCCTAGTAGGTAAATAAAAGAAAAATAAATATGCATGGCTGTTTCTACTGCGATGAGGGGAGTTCTTGTCAAAAAATGTGAAAACTGTATTAAAATTGCTGACAACAGCTACGAAAATTTCGTGACAGCATGCTGACGTGACTGAAGCGTGTGACCAATTTCCGGTCACACGCCAAAGGTCATACGATCTTGTGCGATGTTTATTATCAGCCGACGAACGATTGAAGTGATGAAAGGTTTTCAAAATCGAAGTCATTTATAGTTTGCGATGAGTTTTTATTCCATTTGCCTCCTGACTGAAGTAAAAACTCTTGCAACTCTTGCTTCGACGCGTTGGGACTTTCGATTCACGGCCGGATTCGGACGCAGTTGCTTAGCAAACGTACGTTTGTCTTTTGGCTAAAAATTATTTATTTTGTGACTCAAAACGACGCAAAAGAAGTTGGAAATAACTTTCCTTGCCGTAAAAACGTGTTACAAGCAATGGTGAGTAATCCTTTCATCTAAAACCTTCTTTTTAGTTTGACAACCGTCCGCAAGCCGTCTAATTTGCATAAATTTCCCAATTCAATTGCTCTCACCGCTTGCTTTGGTGTCAGGATGATATTTGATTTCCAGAGCTAAAACTTTCCAGTAAGTTAGTACAAAAGCCAAGGTTCCATTTTATATTGATTTTATGATCAAGCGGCATATACCAGAGGCCTTTTTTAATAGTCAAAGTTGGCCTTCATTTTCTAGCACGTCTAACGAACGGCTTGGAAACTAAAATTTCGAGGACGTTTGTGGACTTTTTACATTTAGGGCATGAATTTTCCTTCATTTCAGGCCATGGAACCTAAAAATGAGCCTAGCTAGCTGTAAAAAGGGGCAATTTAATACGGAGGCAATACATCCTAGCCGGCATGATCACATGCTGTTTACGGAAAATTCCCTCATCCATGTCAGGAAATTCTGTATTTTAAAGCCTCGCCTAGGGCAACACCGCGGCAAAACGCAATGCGCATGAGCACAAAATTTAATATCCGGTCAGCTTTTTATTTCCGGTCTAGTATATAAACCAATAGCGGAAGCATAACTTTGCCGTCGCGCCAAGTTTAAAAGCAAAAAGGGCGAAACAGACAAAAAAGGGGGCCAAAAAAATCACTTCATTCGAAAGCTTATATATTTTTCTATTCTCAAACTTTTGCACCACATGGTTATCTGTTTGCACCAACGGTGAAAATGATGTTTGAAGTTTGCAGGTCGCGAGCGCTCGACAAGACGAATTTGTTTTTACTGGCTTTCTTGCATGCTACTGGTTTGGCATAAGTTAATTTGGGAGAAGGTGATAACTAAGAAAAGAATAACAATACTTATGAAAGAAACCAAAATAAAGACGTCATCATTATCATAAAAAACACTAAAACCAGGAAATAAAATTTTAGTCCGTTCAATAATTTGTTTTATTATCAGAGAAAACAAGAACTCAAAACAAAAGATGTGCAGGATTTAATAAAAACTTTGACTTTGATGACTGCAGTCACCGGGAAACTAAACATGCCTATAAATGACTTTCATTCAAGAAAATGCCTATTTAATTCTTTTACATGGTTGCTCTTTTGTTGAAGACTTCAATAATTTCAGACTGTGCGGCTCGGCTGCATCTCATGCAAACACGAAACTTCTAGCTGCTAAATACATGGCATGAAAAGTTCGACTTCTAAAAGCCACTGAACCAGCTTTCGCTCTCTGATTCTGAGAATGGAAAAATAAATAAATAGAGTTGTCAACTTGCTGCCAACCGGCTCAACAGTATAATTAAGCTTATGTTTCATGGCAATCAACCCAGAAGAGTTTCGTTTTAAAACACGGTAAAACCCACTGGTAAACAAAACTACAAAGCGATTGTGTGTTGTCGTTTTCCAAATAAAGTTTGAATCGGCTTTAACACATGTAGACTGAGAAACTGAAGAACTGAAAATCAGAACTACAATACACAAGCTTGCAACGATAACGTTTTAATTTTATGTCTTAGTTTCAGCCAGGTTAAGTGAAAAATAACAGTCAAAAACTTTATTTTCGTGAATGAAAATCAGTTTACCCGACGCTCTAGCCAAAATTACACGCTAGTTATCATCTTACCTTTTCTGAATCTAATCGACTAATTGTTTCAGTGATCTGTGCCTGGTTATCCATAAAAGCAATTTCAATAACTACAAAATAGTCAAAAACACGAGCAGCATAAAGCAGAACAACTGAACCACAAGCTGCACACAGAATGAAGCGCGCGGGAGACTTTGACTGGAAAGTGTGACTGAAAAAGAGACCGGAAATGCTCAACCTGGCGCATGCGTAGACGTTTTGCCGCGGTGTTGCCTAGGGCATGACTCAGCAATTGAGGATATTTCTGCTACGTTTTCAATGTTGGTTAGCATGCAAGGATTTTTCCCATGCCTATCGTCAATGATTTGCTCATTGGTAATAGAGGGGGTGGCCCCAGAGTGGTTTTGCATTGAAATTGGCATGCAACAGAATTTCGCATGCCTTGTAAGCATAATTTGAGGTTCTGTGACCTTCTCACCCAGGCCGCGAGAAGCCTAGGTTCTAGTATTAAGTAATTCATACCCAGCAAAATCTCCGGCATGCCGGGCATGCCAAATTTTCTGACATGCCCGGCATGCCAAATTCTCTGGCATGCCGGGCGTGCCATGATCTGGGTCATGCCGGGCATGCCAAAATCGGTCTCTGGCATGCTCTCAACGCTCAGGTTATAATTCCTTGAATCTACAGATATTTTAAGCTTGGCTAAAAGAAAAAAAAACTAAACAGATCACAGTGCTTATCTTTTCATATACGGTTACACGATGACGTCATTGCTAGTCTTTTCATTTTCATAGATTTGGTTGTCCCAGCGAAGTTTAAATAACAAAAGCTCTAATTTTCACAAGAAAGTAAAACCCTGAGGGATTCTGCCGTAGTAATAAAACAGCGTCATCGTGGAGATGACCTGTTGGGGGATTGTAAAAACTCCTCACCCCTTTTAATGAGTCTTTAATAGGATTCCCATTTCACATTGCGAATAAAATGGAATTGACTGAAATCAGTAAAAAGAGAGACAGAGACTATTTTCATTGTATAATAAAATGCATCTATGTTCCATGAAAGCTTTTAAAAATACAAGGTTATAGAATATCTTTCAAAGTTCATTACAAACTGAGCTAAGCCCCAAAATCACTGTTCATTATTCAGTAAATTATGATGTTTGACAATGCAATGTGCTTGAATATAACGTTGCAATTACAAATCTCTCTAACGCAATTTTCCCTACGTTAGAAAAGCTGTTTTTATCTTGTTTCACATTTTGATAAGGAGTCTGAGTTCCTCTTTCTTGTTTTGTAGGCTTGCCAGGGATTAATGTTTTTGTGTCATTAACAGTGTCTGTGTTCTTTGTTTTTAACTCAAAGTAAGTCAGTAATAACTGACAGTGTCAAAGAATTGCTCTCTAGAAAAGTAATTATCTCCTCGTCATGTCTGGAAGTTACCTGTAACATAAAAGAAATGGAATGTTAACACATGCAAGGGCAATATGAAAAAAAGAAATAGAACATGTAGAGCTCAGCTTCTCTTAACATATTTTCATACTGGCTTGTTGAGTCTGTTAAAGGTCGCAACTAATTGTTTGAGGCTGATTTCACAAGAGTGTGCAATTGAGATAAATGCATGGTAAATAAAGTGAAAGAAACGTGGTTTCACATTAGCCAATTTACAATGCGTTGTTATGATGATGTTTACACGCTTTTCTACTGCCAAATAAACCTTTTTTTTGGATTTGCAAGCCAAGATTATACCGAGTTTGACTGACACTTAATTGAACAACAGTTTCCTTTTTAAGCAGGTAAGGTGTAGACCCATATAAAGCCGGAATATGTAAAGGAAACTCAGCGAAAACTTTTTCGCGTCTTTTTGTGGCGATATTCTCTCACGGCCCGTCAACTGATTAGGGGTTGTGAAGAAAAAATAAATTAGGACCAAAGGTTAAAGCCTGTCCGGTTACATCATTTCGTATGTTACCTAGAGTTCTAATAAACAGGTCATAAAATAGGATTTAACGAGAGCGAATTTGTTTCTCAATCGGTGTATAAAAAAGTGAAGCTATCAAATGAGAAGTTTATAGAGTATCAAAATTATTAAATTAGAAGCTCATATAATTAGGAAAATCCTATACGAAAACAATGCTAGTGACATTAAATTGATCAGATAAAATTCTCAGAAAATATGTCGAATAAAAGCCTCATTGTTTGCTTTTGTTTTTGCGTAAAGGTAAATTTTTCGGCCCACAAAGCAAAGTTGAAAAAGCGACTAAATCTTAGTTTTTTACGTTGAACATGTTTCATTATTAGCCTAGTTTTCGTCCGTTTTAAAAGCTTTATAACCCAATCATAATTTTCGGGTTAAAATAGTACAAAATCATTTCAAAAACCATGTTCATTTAAAGTAGAGCCGGCAAACGTGAACATTTTGTAATTCAAAAGTCGGACCCAGCCAGGTTGTTTAAGCTTAGAATTATTTGCATTTTAGCGCCCTATAAATTTACCAGAATCGCCTCTCAGAGGCTTACTGTAGCAAAGCATTTTGTAGTACACTCGTAGACAAGCAATGTAAGTCTTAAGTCTTTGCTTGGATGAGATGTCCAAAAAAAAAATTAGTTTTGTGGACCTAAACGCACATTCACCGAGACTGCTTATAAATATTGAGTTGTTCACAACTTTGCATTGACACCTGCAGCATGTTCATTTTTTTAAAGCGAAATCCAAATCTTATTTTGGCATTTGATTTACGGATATTTTATTCTGTCTCCAAAAGTGATTGTAATATCCGTTTGATTGTCTTTCAAACAACAGTCAAACTATGCAGCAAAATAAGTAACTTTACCAGTACAGTGAAAAAATATGACCGTAGGTGACAAAAATAATTATACTCGAGCTATAAAATTAGATCTGACTTTTTTATCTTTGGCGTCTTATTTTTGAAGTTTTCTCTAGTCTTCTTAAAGCAGAAGAAGATTACAAGACATACAAACAGAAACAATCCGAAGTGAACGAGTTGACAACCACTTATGCCGGAGTTCTTAGGCATGCTCAACAGCAAGATAAACTGAATGCCAAAAGGCTAATTCACGGAATTTGTTCGATATTCAGGCTTTTTCGTTACGAAATTAATACTAAATTTGTACTTACAGTCTCTCGCAGAATCCATTTCTTGTCCAGCATTCACCAACATCTCAACCATGCACCGCAGAAAAAAAAGACAAACAAGTGCGAAGAGACATGACGACATCGTGACGCCACAACTGCCACGCTGCAACAAACTAGATTCATCGTCATCCGAAAACACTTCTGCGGAAATTCGGTGGATTTCGTGCGTGCTCGGGGTATCTTCGGATGACGCAGATGACGTTGCTCAAAGGACTATCGTCAGCAAGGAGTAAAACAGTTTGCGAGATTCGCATAGCCGACAAGGAGCGAACTGAAAAACTAAGCAAAATGTCTCTGAGAAGGCAGTCCAAACTCACCAAAGCAGAACGTCTTTGCAGTATTAACGTCGTACTCTCGTACTGACTTGAACGACCTGGTAAGCCTAATTTTCACCAGTCTTGACTTTTAATGCTGTTGACCGGGAAACTTTCGGACGCGATAAAACTTAAGCATGGATAAGTTTATACTGAGAAGATTCGTTATCTTATTGTTTAAGACGCTTTTCCGCGATCAAATTTAAATCTGGACCCAGAAATGTCAATATCGGTTTGAAATAAAAGGATTAATCTTTGATTGCAAGTTATGTATTCTATTTTATGCATGAATAATGTTGTTTTGTTGAACTTTTTATTTATAAATCCAGGCTTCTGTCTTCAGTTTTGCCAGTCGATCCCGTGACACACATTGTGACAAACATGACTTTTTTTGTTATAATCTGCATTTATTGCCAGGCATGAAACCTGTAACTTTAAGCTCCCTAAGATATATTTGGCGATTATATGTGATTCTCAGGATATGATGCTGAAGCGAACATCAAAATCAGTCTCGCTGGGCATGCCAATTTCATGCCCGGCATGCCAAACCAAGTGGCTTCACGATCGGCATGCCCGGCAACACCGCGGCAAAACGCAATGCGCATGAGCACAAAATTTAATATCCGGTCAACTTTTTATTTCCGGTCTAGTATAAAAACCAATAGCGTAAGCATAACTTTGCCGTCGCGCCAAGTTTAAAAGCAAAAAGGGCGAAACAGACAAAAAAGGGGGCCAAAAAAATCACTTCATTCGAAAGCTTATATATTTTTCTATTCTCAAACTTTTGCACCACATGGTTATCTGTTTGCACCAACGGTGAAAATGATGTTTGAAGTTTGCAGGTCGCGAGCGCTCGACAAGACGAATTTGTTTTTATTGGCTTTCTTGCATGCTACCGGTTTGGCATAAGTTAATTTGGGAGAAGGCGACAACTAAGAAAAGAATAACAATACTTATGAAAGAAACCAAAATAAAGACGTCATCATTATCATAAAAAACACTAAAACCAGGAAATAAAATTTTAGTCCGTTCAATAATTTGTTTTATTATCAGAGAAAACAAGAACTCAAAACAAAAGATGGGCGGGATTTAATAACAACTTTGACGTTGATGACTGCAGTCACCGGGAAACCAAACATGCCTATAAATGACTTTCATTCAAGAAAATGCCTATTTAATTCTTTTACATGGTTGTTCTTTTGTTGAAGACTTCAATAATTTCAGACTGTGCGGCTCGGCTGCATCTCATGCAAACACGAAACTTCTAGCTGCTAAATACATGGCATGAAAAGTTCGACTTCTAAAAGCCACTGAACCAGCTTTCGCTCTCTGATTCTGAGAATGGAAAAATAAATAAATAGAGTTGTCAACTTGCTGTCAACCGGCTCAACAGTATAATTAAGCTTATGTTTCATGGCAATCAACCCAGAAGAGTTCGTTTTAAAACACAGTAAAACCCACTGGTAAACAAAACTACAAAGCGATTGTGTGTTGTCGTTTTCCAAATAAAGTTTGAATCGGCTTTAACACATGTAGACTGAGAAACTGAAGAACTAAAAATTAGAACTACAATACACAAGCTTGCAACGATAACGTTTTAATTTTATGTCTTAGTTTCAGCCAGGTTAAGTGAAAAATAACAGTCAAAAACTTTATTTTCGTGAATGAAAATCAGTTTACCTGACGCTCTAGCCAAAATTACACGCTGAGTTATTATCATCTTACCTTTTCTGAATCTAATCGACTAATTGTTTCAGTGATCTGTGCCTGGTTATCCATAAAAGCAATTTCAATAACTACAAAATAGTCAAAAACACGAGCAGCATAAAGCAGAACAACTGAACCACAAGCTGCACACAGAATGAAGTGCGCGGGAGACTTTGACTGGAAAGTGTGACTGAAAAAGAGACCGGAAATGCTCAATCCGGCGCATGCGTAGACGTTTTGCCGCGGTGTTATGCCCGGCATGCCATACCAGAGGAGCAAAAACTGGGAATGAATTATCAACCCGGCGAGAGATCTGGGACCTAAGTTTAGCTGGGTCAATTTTAGGCTGCGAGGGCATGACCCCATTTTTTCCATGCCTATGAGATGTTATTTCTAAGTACCAATGTTCCCTTGAATTTTGTCATGCCTATATATATAAAATTTCCCCTCTCTCATTAATCCTCAGACTGAATGCAATTTTTACGCTCGCTAGGCATGTTCAATTGAAAATCATGCCCATACCCTCATTCAAAACAAAATGCTATCAAATTTTAGTTTCCAAGCCGTTTAACGTCACAAATATGACCTCTTTACACTTGTCGATTATAAAAATGTAAAGCATTTTTTATCAAATTTTCTTTTAGGACTTTCAAGAGTAAGAACAAAATAATAATTCGGTGAAGTTTCAATGTCAGGGAATGTTTCTTACGCGTTCACCCTTCTCTCGAAGTTGCCATTGCATCCTGCCGTGTTTTGTGCGAAAAACGAGCATAAAATCGATTTTTCAAACTTTTCCTAATTTCTCCTTTAAAATGAATCGTTTGAACCCAAAACTATTTTTCCTTAAATAAGGTCACTAAAAGGGATGTTTTGGCAAAATAAAAAAAAATTCGATTTTTTGACGAGTGTCGTGCGATTCTCGATTTTCTCAGATAATGGCTCTTAAATCCTATAAGATCAAAATTTGAATTCTCATTTGATACCCCTATTCATTTCTTGCAAAAGTAGGTGGAAGAAGTAGATAAAATATCTAGCAAATTCATCCTGCGTGATCATGTCCGTAATTCTCATGACCACCCTGTTTTACAAAGCATTGATATTAGAAGGAGTAATTTGATGCTGGTCACTCTTAGGGTTAAAGGAAGGTTAAGAGAAAACAGTTGATTTGCCCTTTGCCCACGCGAACACGGCTCTTGCACGCTCTGATTTTCTCGCCTTGACCCGAGTTTACCCGACTGGTACAAAGAAGAGTTAGCCCGGCCAGGAGGGTGACTCTACCATCTAGAAAAAGTAGATAACAATTAAGGAACGCATGCATATTCAGTATATTGCAAAATTATTAAAAGACTGAAATCGATTTGGTGTGTGACCTAATAGGGTAGAGGGTTAAGTAGCTATTTCAGCTGGAAAGCATGCGTACTGAGGTTATGCAAAATACTTTCATCTGTCAAAATTCTATTGTTTTTAACGACTGGATTTCTCTGTCATGTTCGAAGCAACAGAGCGCCGAAACTTACGTACAGCCATGTTAACAAGAGCAGAGGGTTTGGATAAGGGATATTTTGATAGAATTTACCATACGGAACGTTTCTTCTCAGGTTATGCTAGATTAAGTTCCCTCAATTTCGTCCTGTCGTCGTCCAGAATAAAAAGTGTTAAGATAATTTTACTTCTAGTCTTCAATTAAAAACGCATGCCATTCAAAAAAATTGCGCGCAAACAAAAATTAAACAACATAGCTGTCGTAGTAACAAGTCAAAGTTTTATTTTAAAAACGACTTACAAAAGACTACCAAGCTTGTTTCAAATCTTTAATACTGAAACTAATGTCTGTCGCCACCTATTTTAAAATTAACTTTTATGCTGACAAAACAAAGACAAAACAAAAGCGACGGGGTTTTTGATGTCTTTGTTTTGATCCTCGGGTTAAACATGGGTTAAAACACGGGTACCCTTAATTTTGTACTTTAGGCGATTGAAATAACACAAACAATGCAAAATCAATGCGAAAAGCCAGAGAAAAGAAAAAAAAATGCAAAAAATACAAAAATAAGCAGAGAGTTTGACAGATACGATATACCCAGTGGATACTAGACATTCTACTAAGGGTAAAACTGAGGTAAAAGTATGGAACCTAATTCCTTCTGACAGGAGAGATACTACTATACAACACTCTAATTCAAAGACAACACATGGAATGCCATCACTGTTATTAGCACACAGGTAATCGCTCGGAGGTTATGTTTCAGAGAATAAGAAAGCCCGCGAAGAACAGAAAAATGCCGAAGGAAGAAGTCGATAACAACTCAATTCCCATAATTCGTTCCTTGTGCTTAAACAAATTTATTTGAAATCAGCGCGCGCGATAGAAGTTGTTTTCTGCGGTCAGGTAATTTTTTTGGCCGCCTGGAGCAAAGTTTTCCAAAGTTGTTTTTGGCAAAGTCTGCCGTCGTCCACTACGTTACCGAACGTATCATATATAGTAGGCAAACAGCAGTGCAGAACAAGACAATCGCTCGTTAAACTGTTAAGTATACATACTGAAGTGCGTACTGAATATAAACCGGATTTCTCAAAGCTAACTACAAGTTACAACAGATTTACTGGAAACTGTTTTTGCCTGAGCTGAAGCAGTGGATTAATTGAACAAACTTCCTTAGCTATACCTACCTACTGATTTGACTTTAAGAAAAGTTCCATGAAGTTTAATTCCATAATCATTCCTTGCCAAGCAACTGTAAACACCTCCGTCTTCTCCTTCAGTGCTGTTGATATACAGTCCGTCTTTTTTCACTTCACTGCGCCCCTGAGGCAGAGGTTTTGCAGGAGACCTTGTCCATGTTACCTCAGGGGTTGGGTTTCCAAGGAAATCACATCGTATCTTCGTTTCTTTACCCAAAAAACCAGTCATTTCTCCTGGAGGAGACTTGGAAAATCTCGGTGCACCTGCAAAGTAAAATAACTGAAACTGTAGTATTGCTATTAATGATCCTTGATGGATTGATGGTCTTTTGTTATGGTGCAATACATTTTTACAGAGAGAATGTATAACAACAGTTTGAGAAATAGAATATTGTTTTTTTTTTTTAAACTCTAATCATTGTAAAAGTGCATTCCTTGTGATTAAAGATACTAACCAATCATAACAGTTTCAAACAATAGCCAAGAAAAGAAGTTCAGAGTTTCACATGTTCCTTGCACACGTAGGATTTCTTTGATTATAACTGGACCATTACTGAAAAAATTTTCAAGCTACAACCGCTAAACTTGGCGACTAAAATTTATCTGGAAACATTTTAAAGTCTTCGTGACGTGTGCGTCAACGTTAGCGTGGCAACCAAGTTTTGAAAGAAATTTTTTTCCCAAAATTTGAATTTTTTCTAAAAAAAAGGTTTTATTTTTTTCCCTACTAATTGAATTTTTAGTCCACTTAATTAAACATTATTTTATCTATACTTTGAGGGGTAGTTTGGTCCCGCCGTGGCTTCGGTCTTGCGCTCGGCAAAACTTTTGTCACGTCTTCTTCCGACCTGACTCCTGAACCTCCCAGGAAGTATTCTGACCATTTTCAACCGTACTTATTTCAAGAATATCTGGAAGGGATTTTCTTTGGAATTTTGCTGAAAGGTTCCAGAACAGAACAATAGAGAGGAATACCGCATATTTACTCCAAACTCCTAAACACACCGACCTCGATAAAGAGGTTCTCTTCGTCTCGCCCGTTGGGACGAGTGGGGGAGACCCCTGAAACGCCAATATAACTACAGTATTTAAAACTAAAGAGGCCAAGAGAGGTCGCTAAACAAAAAATTGTTATAAAAACTTAGACGGATTCAATGGTGGACTCATTTAATAAGAACACCCGGGCTAATGGAACTATGAAAAAATAAAAATGGCAAAAGGACAAAAACTATAAAATAAGGTAAAAATGCAACAACAGTAAACTTAAAATTATGACAAAAGAGGAAATGATTTTAAAAATATAAATAATAACAAACACAACAGATGTAAAAGAATAAGATAATAACGAGTTTTCGTTCAGCCTGCCAGGGCCGTAGCTAGGTTTTTTGTAACGCGGGGGCATTATCTATAGTGCCGATGGTACAAGCCTTGTAGGGGGGTCTGGGGTATCCTCCCCCAGAAAATTTTCAAATTTGGAGGCTCCAAAACGCTATTTCAGCACTTGTCACGAGATATGTCTCCGAAAAGTCGATCCTGAATGTGAAAATGGCAAACAATTGCAAGTTACTATGAGAATCTAAAGAAAACAAATCCATCCACAGACTTAATGTCTGGCTCAACAGGCCCTGGGGGGGGGAGTGGGGGCTGGAGCAGCTGCCCTCCTTGCCCCCCCGCTAGCTAAAGCTCTGCCTGCGAAACTGAATGTTCTTTTTACTTAAATGACACATTCTGCTTGAAAAAAGAATAATATATAGATTTAGCCAGGGCTAAAAGCGAGGTTCCCATTAGTAAATTTATAATTTAAATTAAACAATAAACTTGTATTCGAATTCCACAATTCAGTTAACTTTAGAGCACATTTATGTGACTTTTGAGGGAAAGGCTACCTGATTTTAGAGAAAAATAATTTGCAAACAGCCCAAGAGTGAACCAAATCTTACATCGAGTTGATAGCCTCATATGTACACTCAAAAACTGGTAATCATCTTTTATCACATTTAAGAGCCGTAATGGCTATTGATCACCGTAGATCAATTAGGCTTAGAAAAAAAAATCAGGCCAACGTTTTGGCGTTCGACAAGTTTACTTTGCAAAATCTTGCCAACAAATCTGGGTGCGTGTAAACCAACCTTTTATACCATGGACAGAAAGCAGTATTTCACAATACAAATTGCTCTCATTCAATATTCATAAACTGTTAAAAAAATTTTCCAAAATCACCTATACGGCCATCCGGTTCTCACTTTTGTAGTGCGAGCTGTAGCGAGTGTTTGAATGAACATTAACAGAGTTACGCTCCAGGATAATAAAGAATTTATCATGTTTATTTTTTATTTGATGGTTTAACGCGCGGCATTTTGAGAACCCCTGCAAGCGATGTTCACTGAACGACTGAAAACAATCGGCATAGCGATTAAAATTGCAAGAGAGACTACCAACAATCAATAAAAGAAATATAATTCGGTGAAACATAAACAGAGACAACAATTTTCATTCAGGAAGACAAGTATTAAAGTGTCCCTAAATATCCTGAGTCTTCAAGCTTCAAGCTTAAGTTTGCTGAAGTTTATGTTTTAAGCCAGCCTCCCGGTGTTTGTTTTTTCAAAGACGAACTCGAGGCAAGAAAATCGCTCAAAGCTTTCTTTTCCGGCTAGAATTATAACTAAAGATTCTTTGGAACATTTTCTTTCTATTTGCGGTGAGAAACTGTCTAAAGGCTTTTTAAAGTTCTGTAAGATTATATCAAACCAGATACTCGGTGAGATCGTTGTCTCAAAACTTACTAACGCGCATAAACTAAATTCCCGTATAAACTACGCTCCACTTCATTAAATTAGATACAAAAAACAAACATGAAATACAATAATTTCTCTGGCTTACCATTCGAGATGCAGCTCCTGAAAGTTATCAGGTAAAGCCAGTATCGCTTCAGACTTTGCAATCCTCTTACGCATCAAGCAAGGTGAAAACGAAAACGATGCCATCCGAAATCGGATTTCCGACTTTGACAAGCGACGTTTTCTCAACCAAAAACCCAATAAACAAACTAGCCATGAGTAACAGAAGACTCCTGATAGCAGCTGAATTTCATTTTGTACATCCAGTGGACAAAGACAGTTAAAAACATCACAAGTTGACACAAAACTCTGTCAGCTTCAGCTGTTAAAGTAAACAAGATTCAAGATGTGCATAAATTTTGCGCATGAACTCACATGTCAAATTTTGACCAATCAGAGCATAAAAATTGGACGTAGAGCGTGACCAACGCGTGACCATTGTGAGAAAAAACAAAAGCAACTGTCTTCCCTGCCTGTAACAGCTGGCTGAATTTTCACGTCCGAGGTCAGTTTGCAATCAAAATTTTAATTGTGCAGCACATAAACACAACATATTTCATATGAATTAAGAAAAAAAAATTGAACTTGAGCCTGCGATCACTTGAAAACTAGTTTACTTGTCAGCGGATAACTTCAAAAAATACTTGACCTCGACGGGTCGACACCTGAGCCCGCGATACGGTCAAGTGATACTGGTCAGCGGGTACTCTGTTTTGACAGCTGTCAATTGATCAAAACATTGATGTCCAATATGTGTGCATTATCAGTTTTCCTGTGCTCCCAAACTAGTAAAAGTATGAGATTGAACGTTGTTCGCGATCTAGTAAAACAGTTAACTGGTCAGCGGACAGCTTCCAAATAAATCACGTCACCTCGATGAGTTGACACATGAGCCCGCGATATGGTCATGGGATACTGGTCAGTGGCTATCCTGTTTGGACAGCTGTCAATTGACCATATTGTTAATGTCCTATATTAAAGATGTGGGCTTGCCAAGACACGCCTGAGACACCCCTCCCTTCCTTTTGATAGTCTCCCCTACCCCACCCATACAATCTGTAGACGCGTACGTACGTACGTACGTACGTACGTACGTACGCTCGGTCAATCACGTGACAACCAAACGAAAAGAGGTTGACCATATTCCATGGGTATGGGGCTCTGTCCCACGCGCGCTTCGCGCGCGCGGGAGCCCCGCTAAAAATGAATAAGAACCTACCTAATACTGTAAGTTCTACTTCGGTCTCTTGAACACCAAACACATTCTCCGCGCGGCATGTGATTACTCCCTCGTCTTCAAACCGAATATAATTTAACTCAAACTTCTCGTCACCAGTACTGTTGACTCTACTTTCGTTTTCGTGTATTTTAAGACGTACAGACCAAGTGATTTTAGGTTGTGGATTCCCAGATACGGAAATACTTAGTGTCAGATTACCGCCTTCCTTAATGAAGATGAGTGGTGGGGGCTTGCTTGTGAATCGAGGAGGGGCTGTTGAAGAATTACATTCATTATAATGAGCTATTAAATACTAATAAATGTTATATCCAACCAAAATGATGATGATGATGATGATAATAATAATAATAATAATAATAATAATAATAATAATAAACATGTCAAAACTAACAATATAATGTTCCGACCTTTCGTAACCCCATGACGTCAGCTGTGTTTTGTGAGACCAAGCCACAGCTAGTAGTGTGATGATGTACCAGTCTTAATGTAATCTGTGCATGACTTTACACGCGCGTCCACTGGATGGCCACACTGAACAGTACGCTACTGTTCTGAAAGTAAACACTACGCGGGCGCCGTTCCTGACGACCTCCTAAGTTGCTTTAAGGCAGCGCAAGTGTTGAAAAATACAGGAACAAATTTTACTGTCTTGTTAAAGAAATGCTGTCCATGGAACAATTCTGAAGACCTCATTGGGACTGCGCAAACGGATTCAATCCCGGCTGCTTAAGTCTTTGTCTAGCTTTTTTCATTTTTTAAATGTAAATTAAGAGTTCTTTCAAATCTTTTTGAACTCGCCTTTGTTTCCCATGAACAACAACAACAACAACAACAGTCATACGATTAATTTAGTATAGTAAGGACAGTAAATATCGCAATTTTACTCACCAAACATTGCTACATCTGCTTGATTAGACGTTTGCAATTGTTCGACAAGCTTTTGAAGCACGGTAACATTAACGTCTGGGCTCTTTAATGGTTTTCCTCGAGGGCCCTTTCTACCTGGAGCGCCGTTTTTTCCAGGTGTTCCTGGACGACCTCGACGACCACGAGGTCCCGGTGTCCCTGGTTTTCCAGGGGGCCCTGGTTCTCCTGGTGGACCCTGTGGACCTGCAGTATAGATATTTTCATCGGCTGATTATTATTCATTAACTTACCATCTAAGAAATGCGAACCACGATCGAATTTATTTTACCCGATTTATTAAAAGCTCATTCATGGTAGTCAATCAGTTACATAGGAGGCAGCTTGGCCAAGCGCTTAGAGTGCTGGAGTTGTTCAATCGGCCCCGCCATGACTGCTAGGTGAGTTTGTTCTTGGTGGTCCAGAGTTTAACTGTTCGATCACCCTTGTAGATACGCGAACTGGTTTGCCTCCGGCCAGTTGGGATTCTTAACGTTGTGGGTCACAATGAAAATTCGGTAATTGTGTTACCCCTATAAAGTCAGTTTCATTTTATAATAGAAAAACGTCAACCTGAAGATTTTACAAATCACATACAACTGTTTGTTGGACTTGTTATAGGATGGTCAATGTCTGGACCTGAATATCCCTGTGCCAATATATGGCAAGAGGATGAAACAGTTTTTAGTGTATGGTCGCTGATGATTACCACTCGTATTACACTTGTTTGCTAGCTAGTAGTAATAAATCAAATATTTAGTAAATAACAGCTATTGCTATTTATCATAGTTACGTTAAGACGTTTTGTTACATACCTAAAGCTACTGATCAGTTAATGAAGCTGTGATGTAAAAAGGGGACTAATTTTTAAGAGCCCGTGAAGTTTCCTTCTCAAGTTCCTCCAAATTAAGCGTTTTGTTTTTCATGCTCTCTATATTTTATTTGCTTCAAGATTATGAATCATTTAGCGTTTAAAAACAGTCAGTTAATCAATTACTGCAGCAATTAAGTAAAGAGACTATCTTCAAGCAATAGAAAACATTTTCCGTGTTTGCATATCCTGATATAAACCCGAGAAGGGTTGGGAGAATTCTCTATAAATAAAATGACTTTTTCAAGTTTCAGCCGACAAGGAAATGGGCAAATAAAGTAAACTTGTGGAGCTTTTCAACTCAAAACCTTTTTTAAATTCGTGCTAGCGTGATTACCGTGGGAAAAGCAAAAAACATTGACGTCACAACCATGGTTACATACTCTCATGCAAACACGCCTTTCGGCCAACCAGAGGGCGCGTACTTAGTTATCTTAGTTATTTCATAATACCAAATCGAACACTGTTCAAACAATTGTAAACAATTATATTACAATAATAATTGCAATTATTAAGAACTTAATCATTGGATAATGCAATTATAGAGCTCTGACTGGCTTAGCCATCACGGTATATGAGCCATTATACCATGCTCTCCAAATATGGTAACTGTACGCGTCTGCTCTGAATTAAAACAAGCTGAAAATCGGTTGTTTTTACATATTAAGTCGGGAAGAATTCTCGATATTTTGTGGGCGTTTTTAATTAAAAAATTCTTCCACTTGCACTTGTTGGATATGAGACGATTATAGCCAACTCGTACTCGTGGAATAATATTGTTAATTATATTTGCAGTGTATTGTATATACCAATTATATTTCCCCTTTCCAAACTTTTCAGCTAAGCAATTACTAATAGCTGTAAGTTTACGTAACAGAACTGAGCAATAGCTAACACATCAAGAGGAGAAAACAATTTAAGCCTTTTGCGGCACTGACCTTTCATACAGATGACTTTTCCAGTTCCATTGACCACGTCATTAGCAACCTTAAAAAGGATTTAGTAAGAAAAATGTCGAATACTTATTGTTGCGTGGTATAAGATTTCTTTTCTTGAATATTTTGCTCTTCAATCCCTGAGCGAAAGTTTCCTTCAAAAAATCTTGTCCAATACTAACAACAGTTCATTATATTCTGACGGCAATAGGCTCCTAATTCTGACTGGTGATAACATCAACCCACCAACCCCCATCAATCCCTACATTGTAAATTGGATTGTTATTTTTTTTAGTAGGTAACAAAGAGTAATAGTTGATGGTAACATGACTCCTTTTTTGCCGATAAATAGGGGTGTACCTCAGGGCACTATACTAGGACCTAATCCGTTTTCTATATTGTTGAATGATATACAAGCTGTTGATTCTGACAAGTCCAATTTGGTTAAGTTTGCAGATGTCTTAGCTTTAAGTGTTTTGGTTAAGGGAACCCAGGACAAAACTCCCCAAAAAGTGGAATTAAATCAAACTTAGTTGGGCCCAGAACAACCTGGAAACCTTACTAAAACCAATGGGATGGTTGTTAAGGGTAAGGTGGAAAGACCTTCCTCCATTGTTACCTTTGATATTAAAGATGAAGTATTTCTTAAGCTTTTAGGTGTTTACTTTCATAGTGATCCTAAAAACTGGGACAAGCAAATCGATGCTTTTCTCAGCAAAGCGGGAAGACGTATGCATATATTACGAGTGTGCCAGTGTGGCTATACGGTCTAAACTCTTTAGACTCTTTACACCATCTATTCAATAGTCTGATTATACCTCTTTTTACTAATGGCATTTCGGTATTGGGTGTTGTAGGCTATGATAAGTCTGTTTCTAAGACTGATAAGTTTCAGGGGAGAGCAGTTTGTTTTGGCTTTCTCAAGGAGGCCACACCCGTTTTAAGCCTTCTAGATGTCTCAGATAATACGTTCTGGAAGAGCGTCACAAATTCTACTGAGCTCGAGATCTCCCCCTTCTCTGTAAAACAAGATTGCTAAGGAATCGTTGCCATTAATCCTATACCCTTCTCCAAATTAGGACTGAACGCTGTTTTATCGATAGAGGTCTTTCCAGTTTTATTTACTACTGTCAGCTGTAATCCAAAACGTTTGTTTCTGCAATTAATTAAAAAAAACATTTTTTTCTTTATTTTAATGTTGACGTTTTAATTGACGAAAATCGCACCATACCATCAAGCGCCATCGCTAACAAACAAAGGAATCCTTCTGTGAATAGAGACGAGAGATCCTATCTCCTTGTAATTCACAATTCTCTCTTGGGAATACGTAACTACTACTAGTAGTAATCTCAGCTTAGGAAGTGCGTTGGAGCTTGTTTAGGTTTACTGTCAAATGTGACATTATTTCCTATTATGGATTGATGGCCAAAACGCTTCCTATGTGTTTCCAAAAAAAAACGAAGAAAACAACGACAGCGAACGGTGGGAAGTCGGGCCCGAGACCTTTGACGTGATAGGGCAAAGCTTATCCAATGCGCTACGCAACCATTATTATTATCGTCATGAATCAAATTAATTGTATTTCAGATTTTTTGCCCATGAAGTTCTGCCGGTGAATTGAAAGATATATTAGAGAAAAACAAGCAGGGTTTTGACAGTAAAAGCCGTACTTTAACTCATTTCGTCGCATTTGAAGAACATTATGGCCGACAAGTGTCTCGCAAAACCAACCAAAGGAATGTGAAGAATCTGGCAGAAAGCGCCTGTACATGCTTGGTAGCCGCGCTACGAAATTGGTAACCGCGCCTTGAAGAATAGACTGCGTTCTCCTTCTTCGAACGCAACAATCTCATTTTACATCGGGGTCGCACTTATAATGCAGATTCAGTCATTAATTTAAAAACGCTCGTGCGTAGTTTAACCATTGGTATTTCTATAAGAAATTGGCAACGTAAAAACTAAGAAACAAAGAGTGCGTATTTCCGTTTTTAAATGTGTTATCGGTTTAGTGACCAGTTCGATAACCAAGTTGTTTGTAATGGACCTCAGTCGGCGATTTGCATTTTCTTTCCCCACCTTAAAATACGAAAAACAAAGGAACGCTACAAACCTGAAGATTGCTGAGCAATTTCTGAACACATACTACTTTGAGTTTGTCGGCTGCTGATGATTCGGATTTCCTCTTTCCGGCCCTGCGGTCTCGTTCACTTCTTTGCTCCTGATCTTTGATACCCTGAACTCTGGTTAGAGGAGTTGCGTTGACGTCTCTCCCAACATTACTGGATTCTCGGTCTGCTTGCGTAGGCACTTCTCTTCGAATTAATGAAAGTTCATTCTCCAAGTTAAAAACTTTGTAGGAGAGAAAAGCGACTGACGTGAGTGTAAAAATCAAATGAAGTCCTGAAATGACGGTGGAGAGGCTCGGTGAATCGCGACCTGACGCCATACTCGCACCCTCAGGCTCGACTGATAAGCGGTGGGAGAACTGTTAGCTTTAATACATCAATTTGACAGCATGACATGAAATCCTAGATGTTTTTCTTAGCCTTGTTTATCAGTCTGTAAAATGTCTGATGTTTTTTTTACATCCATGCTACCCAAGCTGATATCTTTAATTTGCATAAGCAATAAAAGTAGTCAAGCGACATTTTTGCTCTTTTATACAGTTTCCGAAAACATTATGAACTGCTTTTTGTTTGGCCACGGTTGCGCGAAACGTATGTTATTTTATTACGGATTATTCTAGAAGCTGACCTTTAGGGTCAACTCTCTTAGATTTCGATCGGAATCAAATACTTTGATCTCATGCAGTTGCTATTTTTAAATTTAAATAGCAACCGCGGAAATTTTGGTGACCCGGACGGGAGAGCGGGAGATCAGCGCCGTATCTGCGAGAGTTGGCATATATGTGTTACAATAATCTATAACTGATACTGAATAACATTAGACTAATATTCCCTGAGGCCGCAGTCACCGCAGCATCACATGGTGGCCACATGCTCTCCCCTTCCATCCGGCTTGTATTACCAGAGAAAATTGCCTCGTCAGATTAATGGGCCAATGCTCCCACTTGAAGGTTTGCCTTTCTATTACATGTAGACAATGTCATGAGCTCTTTTTGAACCAGGAATTTCTATTTTCATTTGACGATGAAGCAGTCCCTTTATTTAGTAAAAACTGTAATTTATAATTGCAGTCTATTTTTAAATGGTCTCTGCACTTCCTCAAAGGTGTTCTATCACCCTAGACCTGGTTAATATCCGCAGGCCTCTCTCCAGCTCTCTGTACTCTGTTTATTTTGAGTCTCATGACATTACTGCAATTATCATGATTATAGATATTTTTAGCTCGTATTTTTGGCATGTGATGTGTCTGTCACTCTAGAGATTTTCCCTTATCCAAGTGTATATTTATGAGCAATTTAAGAACGACAAAGAAAAAATTCCCTCGAGAACATGACATGACCTACTTTGAGAATTATCCTACTTAAACAGGTGTTTTTACAGTCCTTACCAATCGCCCCATGTAAGGGATTCCAAGAACGTCTAGGGTTCTGAATTCCGATACTGGATTCCTGATTCTCTGGCCGTGAAACTTGGATTCCAGATTCCAGTCCTTAGTAGGATTCCGGATTGCTTGAGCTGTAATTCGAATTCCAAAGCCCTGGATTTAATTTTGGATTCCACAAGAAAAATTTGCTGGATTCCGGATTGCACGTCGAGCAACAATTTCCCGGAATCCGGAATCCAAATGCCCTTAAGGGGCGATTACCAACCATCTTGCATATTTTAAATTGGTCAAACCGACTTAATATACTCCTTATTGCAAATTTGTTGTCATACAAAACAGCAAAAATAACAAACAAACAAACAGACAAAAACAAAAACAAAAACAAAAAAGGGAAATTGGAATTAATTAGCCATGCAAATAACCACGCGTAAAAGAACATCTCAATAATGAAAACTCCTCTGTGAAAAAACATATCTATTCCTGCCAGAACAAAGACTATAAAGGCATTGAGGTCAAGATTATTACGAGCGAAAACGATCCCGCTAATCTACGCCTTCAGGAAGCATTTTACATTAGAAAGTGCAAGCCCACACTCAATTCCCGGGAGGAATGTAGTGAATTCGCAGACTTTCTATTTTAGTATTTTACTGACCATTCTTAAGCGCTTTTAGAGGTCCTTGTCTAGAGACATTCCATCATTAGAGCGTTGTATTCCACTCACAGTTTATTTCTATAGCTTTCATACATACGTCATGCACGACATCTTTTACACATTTCACCCTACACCTTCTTTGCATATATATATATAGCGCGCGCGGAATATTTTCGCATCCCTGATGATGCCCTTGATTGGCGAATGCTTGGATTTTGAATTCTACTTTTTTAAAACAGCAGTTTAAGGCCTCACTAGAACAGTTTTATATTTTTAATTATGCTGCTGAAGGAAACCATGAACAGATTATTACGTTTAATATGTTATGAGTATAAACTTGAAAACTCTTTTCCAGAATCTGAAGAGACCTTTCAGTTATCAGTAGACCTTTCGCGCATTCCTCATGCAAACCAAGGCACCAACTCGAGCCGAGGTTCAGGTGGACAAAATACAGTTATTCGTATGCAATTGTCCATCCGAGCCTCGACCTCATTTCGTTTTGTTTGCTCACTGAAGAAGAATGCGGGAAAAGGTATCTTGAGATGAGTGAAGGCAAATTTGTAACTGTCGAGGTGTTTCCTTCTTCAGCCTGACTTTCTTCGGACTGGATGCGTCTGTCTAATTCATTCCTGTGTTTTTAGCTTTTTCCAATTCCCTTTTTTACATTTTTATATGACAATGCAAATAAAAGTATCGCTAACAAGCATAATGCTCGACTTTACCTTGCTTTAGATTGAGTGTTATACGCTTAAATCCCAGGGATGCATCAATCGAACCTTCAAACCAAAACTCCCAGCAAGACTGATGGAAATGTTCCCAGCCAGCAAGGTGCACCTACGATCTGACTTAATGAGAAGTTTCCCAGGAGAATATGTCCAGACATTACTGGCCAGTTTGGGGGTTTCTGATGGATAGGACACAGCGCAGTAGCTTTTTAGAAATCACATTCACTCTGACAACTTCCATTACCTTTATCTCAGCAACACTTTCCTTCCATATTACTTCTTTCACATCGACCAGCCAGCAAACATTTGCCTGTAGAACAGGCATTTTGAGGAACAGATTCATTGGGTGCCTCAAAATGGCGGGCATGGTGATTTTGCTCTTGTCCACGTGTTTCACATGGCCAGAAATTTCATACATTCAGCGGCGTGGTGCGTGGGCTCATGTAATTTTCTTTGGTTTTGATAAAATCGATGAAAAATGGTAGAATCTAATGATTAAGCAGTGGAAAATAGCATTTGCCAACTATTTAAACTTATATGCGTGTTCAAAACAATAAAAACCGAAGTTTTCTTGATATTACATCATTGCGCAATCGACAGCCTCCCTGTCACACGGAGTCACACCACTTTGTCACGCAAAGTCATGATTGCTTGAAGATACAAGGCTTTTACAGCTCTGTACAGCGGAAAACCGGCAAAAAAACCCGATCCCAGTGTCCTTCAAAGATGGCGACTGTTTTTGTTCAGAGTTTCATGATTTTTCACTCGGTTTCACTCGAGGTTTTTGCTTATCATCGCGGTCATTTCCTCCAAGAGATCGACAAACGAGCGGCGTTTGAGAAGACGATTTAAACCTATTCTTTAGGGACACTGGGAACCTTTAAATCTTGTTTTTATACACTGTTTTTAAAAAAGATCTACTTTGGCTTTCGATCTAGCTATTTGGATTTGGGGACATCAAACATCGCCAACAGAAAACTTATCACGAAAATTTTGCGAGAGCACCTTTGCACAAAAATAAGGGAAAAAAGAGACAAAGAATGGCGGCTTTCCCCGGAAAAAGGAAGAATTTTTAAAAGCGTTGGGAACCGTTGATTCATCAACTGTTTGTAAACACCAATGCTTAAAGGCAAGAAGATGTATGCTTTATTTTAACTGGATTTGGGGACCTAAAGAAAATCTTATTCATAATGTATAAAAGCGAGATTCCGACTGAGGTAAGTCCACTTTCCACCGTATTCTTTGTAATTTCGTACTCACCGAAATTTTATCTAAGTCCACCAAGTAATGCGATTCGCATGCGCGTCGGCCGTGATGTAATTGAAATTGTGCGCCATGAGGTACAGAGGAGCAGAACAATTGATTCTTCCTGGTTCCTCAATGACTGATATATTGACTGCATGGGACCGTGTCGGTGATGGTAGGGTCATCCACCTAGCCGGCCCAACTTCTCTCCATAAAAAATTTTTGGCTCTCCCAGCTGGGCAAAGTCGGTGAAGGTGAGACAATCAAAGCATGTGCGAGCGCTACTAAGACAATTACCTTTCAACTTGCAGAGCTTGCACGAGCGTTGTTGTCTCAGGCAGAGAAGTGTCATATAAACGCTTGCTATTTACTTTTGACTCGGTTGGGATGGTAACCCTTCTACCCGGGACAGGTTTTCGCCATTTCAACGGGAACTTCATTTAACGCGTGTAACATCAGAATAAGTTGTTGACTTAGAGGAGTTTTCAGCTGAGGCCAGCCCTCTTGAGAAGCAGTAGTAATTTTTTATTTGTTTATAACAACTTTATTCTATGCTAAAAAGGAACTGGGCAAAAAGGGCGCACCCACTTCTCTCAATATAGTCGTAAATAAGGTTTTGAAATATCTTGTGCGGCCAACAGAAAATGTTACATATATAATTTTCTATCTTACATTACATGAACCCATGAAATACTTGAAAAGTTGTACGATATATACTTAAGAAATTACTAGGGGTCTTTAAACGCATCCATCCTAGTTTAAAAATATTTCATCTTATCATATGCACTGTCCTTGCCGAGAATCCACCTGGAAGAGTTGTGTTGAAGACGTTGTAATCAAAATCTTAGTCTTAATAACAAGTGTCGACCAATTTGGAAGATGTTTTCTGTTAATCGACGACTGACGGCCATAGTCCACGCCCGATATATATATGTATTATATGACTCCGTGCCTTTCTAGTGTTGTTTTTTCTATATTTGTGTGGTTTTCTTTGTACTTGAGTCTCTTCTGGGAATTGCGAGACAATGGAGTCGTGAAAAATTTGCAATTTTGTCCCTAAAGCCTCGGAGCCATGTTAAAAGATAAATATATCGAACGTTGGCTGTTACAAGCTACTTGACCTTACAAAAGGGACGCACGGACCTCTTGCAAATAAGCGGCGCGGCAGCTCAGGGATATATTTTGAATGAATAAAAGACGTCTCAGCAACTACTGAATGCTTTCGTATGATGTAAAGAATTATGCAGATCGAGGCGATGCGATCCCCTTCGATGTGCATAATAGGCCGTT